CTTTGCTGCGGTTCAACCTGCCGTCGTGCACCAGCTTTAGCACATCTCAAACGCGACATGTGCCTTCTGCTGTTCGCCCTGCTCCAGACCCGCTCATGGAAGCACCAGCGTGGCGTTCCCATGCGTTGGGTTCTCTTCAGTGCGCAGCTATTACTTGTATCGCTGTTACTTCAGTTCCTGCGTGTGTTGCTTTTGTTTCGGAGTCAGCTGGATCAGTGCCCAGGGGGTGAAGTGTGCGGTTGAGTGTGGAGACAGGCAATGGCCATGTAACAGTAAGGAGATGGTGATCTCGAGCTGCGCGTACCGCATAGCTGACCCTCGAATGTGGTCACTGCTCCTCTTTGGTGCCAGCACGCAACTGAAGTGGCAAAATGTTCTACACTGATCCAACAGCATCATTTGTTTGCCTGGAAGAGCAAACCTCAAATAAATGTTTGCACACACTCTGCGCACTGTGGCTTTACAGACAGAATTTCCTTCTGACTTTGCCGTTAAGTCATCTTTAAGAAGTTGTTGTGCCTCATCTTTGTTGTCCGTATTGGATAAAACAGTGAAAGCACAGCTAGGCCTGGGACAGCGAGACTGCAGTTTCTGAAGGCATCGCGAAACACAACCCATCTCATTTTACACAGCTCAGAGACAAATGTGTATGACTTTACTACGTAGCTAACTCACACTGCTGCGTTATGGGTGCTATTGATCACCTCGAGGAACTGTGAGGCAGCAGTTATTGCTGCTAATCACATTTAGGCTTAGCGGAGTTCCTGAGTGGCAACAGAGATCAAACTACTGCTGTGTTTTACATGTGAGAAATCAGCGATCTCATCTGTTGAGGGTTTGCCTAGGCAGGAAGCTGCCTTATTGCCACCTCAGTTTAAAACCCAAGCACCTTCTGGTTTGGTTTACAATCACTTGTACGTGCTTCTGAAAATACACAGAAATTACAAGGACTCTGGTGTTCCTGTTCGCATTGTGCTGGCACCGTACCAAGAGCAGTGCATCAGATGGGACAGACGCAATAAAAAGTCCACCCCCCACCAGCCTCCCCAAAAACCAAAATACACTTATAATCACTTGAGAATTAAATGTTCTCCATTTATTGAGCATCTAGTTTCAATCAGCATTTTCTAGGCATCACAGCAGGAAAGAACTTTAGCATGACAGCTGAGCAGCCCTTCTCATTTTTACAGAGATCTTCTCTGATGCATAAGGGGCAGCATGGAGACATATAAAAAAGGAATTAGGATGTCCATACTTGTTTATTAAAATTCCATGCTTTGCTTTTCCTTCTCCCCCAGTGATGCAGTGTTGTCTGGAAAGCAGGCCACCATGCGTTAAGGGGAAAAACAGCACAAAAACTCAACCATAATTACAAGCTTCCAGGGAGCTAGAAAGAGTATTGATGACCCAGTATACTGACAGCCTAAGTAAAGCAGACTCGATACAAGACCTTGGTACAAGTGAAACTGAGTAAGAATGCTGGTTAACTTATAGTTCAACAAGTATTCTAGTCTTACATGTACATACAACATCCCTTCAGTGGTGTTCGTAACTTGAGGCTAAGCAGAAACTTCTGGTTGTATCAGTGACCATCACAGCCAGATGCCTCTCGTGTGGGGCAAGAACAAACAAAAAGCCAGCTGCACTCACAGAGAGGTCAAACAGGCCATTTCCCTGTCTGCTAGAGGCTTTCTACAACCTGGGCATTTGGCACCAGACCCTCAGCTGCCTCCTTCCTTAAATCATCGGGCATCAGCCATACCTACAGCTTGTATATCTTAACAGTATCCCACAGAAATGCTCCTTCCTTTGGAGTATCTGGGTCATGGGAATGACAAACCATCCGGGCAAGAAATGAGAAAAGTAAAGCCTTAAACTGTTTGTGAAATTTACAGATGAGCCTGTTGTGATACTTAGGAAGACATAACAGAGAACACTGTTCAACCTGCTGGGAGCAGCAAGTTCCAATTACCTTGAATTGCTGCCAGCACTCTAGCTACACTGTGGAAAGGGAAAAGGAAAGGCAGCCCCAGCAGGACGAAGTCCACTGCTAGGTTTAGGAAGAGTAGCTTCTTCCTAGTGTTTTGTTTAGGGAAAAAGAGGCACACTGCG